CTTTTGATACTTTATGTAGATTTATTTGATAATACTTTTTAAGTAAGGTTTTAAATGCAGGACTTTCACGTGTAATGGAGTATTCTCTCAGTACTATTATTTAAAGATCTCCCACCACTGAATCATTACATATCTATTAATTAACAGTTAAGTAATTGCTTGGTCTCACCAGAAGGCAAAATTAGTTTCTTTTTAAAATGATTAAACCTGGAAGATTTTAAGTATTAAATCCTGAAGCCATCTAGATGATAAGATGATGTAAATGAAGACAACTGATATGTTACTTGAGAGTTTGTGAGGGGTCGAATTTGTGTATTTTGGAGAATTTGAGTCGCTGTTAATAATAATAATAATGTTCACAGACAGGTTTCTCTTCTTGTGTCATTGTTTGTTTTACAAACACAAACAGCTGGAGGCATTTTTAGCTTTTCCAGAGAACTTAAGCCCAGTGTTCATGTGGTAGGAAGATTGTCAGCAGAGAGATTAAACATTACCGTTTGCCGACATGAAACAGACTTGAACATAACAGAGCTGCTGGTGTGTGTGTGTGTGTGTGTGTGTGTGTGTAGTTACTGTATATATGAACTCATAGATGAAGCTCTGTCTGGCTCTTTCCAAGGCCGGTGGGAGCAGGGGGGGTCAGCAGGGGGAACGCAGAGAGGAAATGAGCCCCGGCGATCAAAAACAAAAAGAAGGGGGCTTGTTAGAGACGTAATGAGTTTCAACCCAGCGACCCGCCCTATATGTTTTCATACAGAGCTTATTTTGTTCATGTCACACCCTCACGCGCAGACTTCAAACATTTCCTTCCCCCTCCCCCCCCTCACACAACCACTCCACCCTCGTCTCTCTTTACCTGAATTCATCTCTCACGTTTCTGGTTTATTTATCCAGCGTTAACTACTGTTTACCCTGCTCTCGTGCGGTGGCTGAACTACATGTTTCTGCTCTACGTGGTGCTCTTTGGCTGTAATTATGGGAGCAGGTTTTGAGGTAAACAAGCCAGGATTTAGGTCATATAGTCTCAATGTTATACTCAATCCAAAACAGATCCTACTGCAGGGTTTGGAGATGCTTTGAAGTGAGAATGGAGGATGTGGGGGGGTGGGAGAAACTCACTTTGCATTAAGTTTATCTGTCTGAGTCTGTCTGTCTGTGTCTCCTGTGTATTTCCCTGCATTGTATCTGTGTGTACGTGTTGTGTTAAATGTGGCATCTCAGATATTTTCCCTCGTTAAAACTACAGCTGCAGAGTTGCACATGCGAGTGTGTTCATGTTTACATTTATCTTTTTTTGCCTGCCATCCTCCACAGAGCAGCTGTAAACAAACGGCCTCCCCCCCGTCTGTCTGCGTTTTGTTTGGTGTAAGTTGTACTTGCATCAGTGTTATTACGCGGGCTCTGTTATCTTCACGTGTGAATTTAAAACACAGTGTTTGAACAACTTCTGCACGTCTGGTCCGTGAGACTAAAAAATGCTTCATATTTCACATCCTCTTCTTCTATTGCTGTCCACACAGACGTTTCCTCTCACGTACTCGCTGTATTTCTCTTTATAACTCATTTCAAAGCCATATTGACAGGAACAGGTGGTTTTGAATACTGAAGAAGAAGATGTTCTTCATCCTTTTCAAGCTATTTTTTTATTCTTTGCCTTAATGGAAAAACATCCTCGAGTTTGAGGAAAGTTGTGAAGAATAAATTATAAAGGAACAGAAAACCACCTTGCTCCTCGACCTCCTCTCCACCGTGGCGACCTGGAGGAGGAGAGACTACAAACACACAGTTCAATATATTAGGAGAATATATATATACTTATATATATATATATATTATATATATATATATAAGTATATCTCAGCTGAATACAGTAGCAATAATTCCTCTCTCTCTTTACTCTGTTTGGTTTACCTCCAGTACAACTCTGCTCTCTCTCAGAGACAATGGAGACCCTGAGGGATTGGAAAGAGAGAAGCTTGAATTCTAGGTCAAGCATTGATGGTGACTTTGAGTTTCACAAGGACATTTGATCTGCAGCCAGAACCTCTGTTCACTTCGACAGTCTCTCTCTCTCTCTCTCTCTCTCTCTCTCTCTCTCTCTCTCTCTCTCTCTCTCTCTCTCTCTCTCAGGTGAAGAGAAATATTAAAACCATTTGTGCTTTTGAAGCTTGTCTGTAGGTTCTTTATAAAGTCTAAAATCCAATGATCTGAATCTTAAATATGGTTCATTTTCGCTTTTAATGTTGTTTTTGGGAAGTAATTGTATTGATCGTACTGTAACAACATACAAAACAAAACCTACATGGGACCAATACTGATTTTCCTTCATATCTTTTACCTTTTTTTGCCAGTTTGGATGTAAAATAGTTAAATTAAAGTTAGTTAAATTCATTAATAATGGTCTTAAATTGGCCATACCTTCAGGAAGTTGTGTGATTGAAGCAGTTAATACAAATTCAACCGATCCCTGTAAATTCTACACAACAATTTCATCCAGTCAGTGCAACTTTTCCACATATTTGACCGACCGTTGCACTTTACACAACACCAAACTCACTTCCTTGTTTCTAGTTGTGAAGTTGCAGACGTGTGTAATGCAAATGTCTCACATTTCTCCTCTCCAAACGATTTTATTCTCACTGGAACAAGTTGCCTTCGACTTTTAATGAATTATACAAACCATAAAATGCTGCTAATGCCTTAAATCATCACAACATGCATCAAAATCTTTTAGAAAAGCTGTGAAATCAGACATTTTAGGCCACAACAATCCCAAAAAAACTCCTGGAAGTGCTGAATGTGTCTAAAAAACTCTTAAATTTAACCTGTTGAAACCTGCAGAAACCTTTTTGTGCTCACTCACACTTTCTGGGAACCTGTAGCTGTAAACCGACACTGCACAGACGCTCTGGGTGGACGGACGAGATACAACAAATAATGAGTTTTAAAGGTGAATGAAGGTGATTTCTGTGTACAATCTTTATCCTAACACATTAAAACATGTCAGTTATACACACATTCTCTAAAAAGTGTTGAAATATTCCTTTAATGATGCAAATTGCAGCGTGTTACATAATATTAGGAGCAATAATCACCCAGATGTGTTGTTAAACAGGCAGTTAGATTAAAAGCTACAAAGAGATGAGATATGATTGGATGTTAACGGGAACTTCAGAGATTCAATCTGTCTGTTTCCTGTCTCATCTGTGGGAAGCTGGAGTTTGTATCCCTCCTGTGACAGGATGAAAGCAGATGGAGAAATACATTGTGAGGCTTTATTATTATTATTATTATTATTATAAGTTCTCCTTTCAGCAGCAGTAACATGATGAAGCTGCTTGTATCCATACAAATGATCAACAAACTGATCGACCAACAGAATCACTCCCTTTGTACTAATAACAGCGTAACACACTTAGTTATGAGTCGGCTTCTTCTTTTTCTTCTTCTCTCCATCGGTGGAGTTGTTGCCCCCCCCCAAAGCAAACCCTTTGATGCAGTTGCTAGGCAACCTCTCCTCTCTCTTTCGCTGCCCTGCTTTCTCTCTCCGAGCAGCCAGTGAGCTCGTCCTGTCAGATGGAGTGAATGATGTAAGTCAGCTGTAACAGATTCAGAGACATGTGCACGTCACACTGAGCGAGGCTGAGTCGTTAGTTTAACATTCATATTATTACTACTTACTAAAATACATGATTGCTACCCTTTAAAGTTAAAGCTGTAATTGACTCATTTCTAACTGTGCGTGTAGCATACTGCACTGTTTGATTAGGATTATCTCTCTAGGAATAAAGAATAAAGAATAAAAAGTCTTACTGTGTAAATGTCTGCATTAAAAAGAACAATATTGTTGGCGATGCTACAGAGAAACTGTCAAATACACTCAGTTGCCAGTTTATTAGGTACACCTCCAACCCAGTGCAGCCCTAATAATAATAAATAATAAATCCTTCAAGGCTCTGTTGGTTCAGAGAGGTTTAACTTTGGTTTTTACTCAAGTGAATCTGATAAACTGGCAATAAAAACATACTTATTATTGTTATTACTGCTACTGTCACTTAACTACAACATCTTGATCTCCTTTCTTTGTGTGTGTTCACTCCCATTTGTTTATAGATCGGTCATAGAGTCGCTGCATCGTCCTCCAAATGTCAAGAGATACAAAATCCAAACAGATGTGAACACCCAAATATTATTATTGTCTCTATTTTTATATGTATTTATATTTTTCTATCCTTAATTCCTCTTATGCACCAACGTACCGAGACAATAAACCTGATTCTGACATTATCTGATTACTGCTCTTGAGTTATAGACACATAAACAAACATTAGAACAACAAACAAACAAACAAACAAACACTCAGATCCCCATTTAAAGTTCAATCAAAGAGAAAATAAAGCGGCACTAATAATCAGAAATTAAAGAACATAATTAATGGAATTTAATTATTACATTGCTTATATTACATTATATTACTTTTTTTTATTTCTATAATATATGAATATAACTTTTCAATGTAAATAATTAAATGTATATTGATCTGCTTCCTTGTTGTTTTCTTGTATTGGTTTGAGTGAGTTTCCCAATCAATTAACAGTTTTATCAATAGTTGTTATAATACAGACTTTATTCTCCAAATGTAATCGATTAAAAATCCATTATCGATCACTGGAGCGCGCCCCGGGCCACGCGCTCCTCTCCTCCAGGTGTGTGAAGAAAAACCAAAAACGACGCGTCTTAACTTCCTGCTGTGCCCTTCAAAATAAAACTTCCCACAAACACTTTAAAGTTGAAGTTGTTTAGAGAATTTTGTAAATAACACCAGAAACAACACGAAGAATAAAAACCGAAATAAAAACATAAAAACACGTTTCCAAAAACCTCCTCTCGAGTCTCACTAACCCACCATGCTCTTATTTTGAAACAAAGACACCAGCGATATTCCGGCGTTGCTGTGTCAGAGGTCTCCTAGCTTGATGCAAGAGGGTGGGGGGGGGGGGGGGGGTTTGGTTGCTGTCGACAGCCCTGCAGCCCTATAGATAAATAAAGCAAGCCCCCCTCATTTATCCCGGGTTAAATAACCGTGCCGGAAGATGGTGGCCAAGCAGAGGATCCGCATGGCCAACGAGAAACACAGCAAGAACATCACGCAGAGAGGAAACGTGGCCAAGACGCTGGTGAGCCGTTCACTGACAGCCGGGAGACAGCATGACATTAGCCCAGATAGGTGACGTTCACTCCGGTATGAATACAGCAGCATGGTGAGGATGAGGATGAGGATGAGGAGGGTGAGGAGGATGAGGGTGAGGAGGGTGAGGAGGATGAGGAGGATGAGGGTGAGGGTGAGGATGGTATGTCCTGTTTATCACACGTGTCTCACTCCTTTAATGTGTCATCGTTTTGGACCCCCCCAACCTGAGCTGGTTCATTACAATGGGATTTATTCAGACTGTGGAAGGGGGGGGTTCGTTACCGCCCTGACTGCTCGTTACTTTGTTTTTTGGAGTTACATTAGTGAGAGGAAGGTTTGTTTTTATTCACACTGGGGAAACAATGATCAATAAAAGACAAACTGAGGGAATATTGGGGAGAAAATTGGTTTTATTAAAGCAAAAATAGACAGAAATTCACTTTTTAAGACTCTCAATGTGAGTATTTAATTATCTTATCAACTATTTCTAACTAATGCTGCTAAAATAAAACTAATAATATAAAGACTTAAAGTTGGGCTCTGAGCTGGAGAGAGGCCACCACTGACCGCCCCATAGGTTGGTGTCAGACTGAACACATTAAAGATAATATATATATATATATATATATATATATATAATTTAATGATCTGTTATTGCCACAACAGAGTTATAATGTCTCTAAAAATCACTAACATTAGGGGTGAAGATTAATAAATAATAAAGTCTTTGGGGCGCCGTCAGTGAGAGGTTACACAGTCAAACACTTTAAACAGTCGTCCATCAATCAAAGGGAGAAATCTGCTCTGTTTGGTATCAATCAATATGTTGTACTTACTAATGGTTGTAAATCCAAATACAGAGCGAGCAGTCAGTACCGAGTCTAAGAGAGAACCGGTTAATGGAAATAATAATAAAATAATGGTTGTGTTGATGTATTAGAGAGACACAGATGTAACTCAAACTCTGCTTAAGTTCAATAAAAAAAACATATTTATTTGGAGAATATACTGAATATTTGGAATTAAAACTATTTACATTTAATGCTTTACTTATTACATATAACAATGCATATTATCCTTTTCACTGTAAAGTCTTTGCACCTTGAATCTACACATGATTATTAATCTTTACCTTCCTGATTCTGGTCTCAGTTTGTCTTTTAAAACACAACCATGTGTTTATTAAAACTATTTCTAAAGATCATTCAGCCGCTGTCGTCCAAAGCAGAGCGTCTCCCACACACAGTGAAGATCCCTTTGCAATTAGATTTACTGTGAGGGGCCCACAGGGGAAGATTAAAGCCGTACTGGGAGATAATAATCACACTCGTACTATTTCACCACAAAGACTCGGAGTTCAGTCTCCGTTCGTGGCGCTCAGTAACCTTGTGCAGCCTCCGTCCTCAAAAAGAGGTTTAAACAGGAGCTCAGGAGTCACATACGGAGGCTGCTCAGGCTCAGTTTTCACTCTGTAACAGGATAACCAAACCAACAAACCTCCCTCACCGACAGCAGACAACAGGGGGGCCACACACATCCTGGAAAACCTGGAAAAACCTGGGACAATCTGCACATTTAGAGGCTAGTTTTCCAGGAAAATTGACCAAAGATCCTGGAAATGACCTTTGTTTTCCCATCAGTCAGATTATGATGCTTATTTTTTCATTGTCAGTTAAGAGCTGTTCACACACCACACACACCAACACACAGAGAGCCTGTTATTGATTATTTATTGATTGATAATCATTAAACGTACGTGTATTATACTTTCTGCCTCTTCTCTTAAGAGGCTAATTGGTTGGAAGGAGACTTTTCTGTAAAATAAAGGCTGCAGCGCCATTAACCCTTAAACACTCTAACCGCCACAGACAAAACCCCTGGAAAAGGTCCTGGAAAAGGTCCTGGAAAATGATTTCTTAAAGACAAACACGTCACATGTCCTGAGCTGCTGATGCGTCAGTCTGAACTGACAGACTCTCAATTTGAAAAACTGCTTACTCAGCTACTTTCAGATGATGATTAGACCACAGAGTCGTTATTGGGGACATTTGGGGACATTTAGGGACATTTAGGGACATTTGGGGACATTTTAAGGAGCGACACCGACAACCTCGCCTCGCTTAACGATGGAAAAACAAGATAATCTGTGTTTGGCAGGTTTAAAGGAGAGAGACAGAGCAGCTGTTTGTAAATCGACCCACGTTCAAGTAGTTTCACTTTTACTCTGCAGCATCTGTCACATCCTGATGTAGCAGCAATACTAATGTACGTCTGTGTGTGTGTGTGTGTGTGTGTGTGTGTGTGTGTGTGTGTGTGTGTGTGTGTGTGTTCCCATAGCGACCACAGGAGGAGAAGTATCCTGTGGGTCCCTGGCTGCTTGCCCTCTTTGTATTTGTTGTGTGTGGATCAGGTATGACTCTCTTACACCTAAAGAAGTGAGATAATGCTAATGAAGCTATTGTAGGTTATATATTAGTCGCCACGGTTACAAACATAGATACTTCATTGGCCGTCATATTGGTGAGGTCAGGATCCAATAGTGATCGATACGGAGAGATTCAGACTTCGACTGTAACTCGGTTCAGTTTCTCTATATTAGTAGATTTCTGTACATATTATATATATAATATTATTGTTATAAAGCCACCTGGTTGCTTGTTTTTTATGAACTTTGTCTACATGAACATAAATAATTCAACCAGTTTTATAGTAATTTGTACCAGCTGATACTTTATGTACCAGCTCACACACACACTAGTGTTCATGTTGTGAATATTTCATCTGTTTGTTCATCTACGCGCCTGCAGCACTTTTCCAAGCGGTGACTCTAGACTGTTTTTTAGTCATAAAGTTGATCAGATTCGACCCTCAGTAACTGAATTATAGATTATATAAGTAACCAGTGTGACGTTTAGTTTCTGACGTTTATAATTCATTTAATATTTCATGAAAAGCTTCAGAATTAAGTGAGTTACAGTCGATTTTGTAGTAAAGTCTGAATCTCTCAGTATTGTTGCAGATATATATATAATATCATTTATCGTGTAAAATTAAGTAGAATTGTGTTTTTTATTTTAATTGTATAGGAAACAGTAGTTTAAAGTTATATTAAACAACTAGAATAAATATATTTTTTAAATAATAATGTGGATTTTATTATATTTTTGGCATCATGTGAAGGACCGGAAATGACCGTCTAATGTTTCAGCAGTATATAGGTCACTTAATATATAAATAATAATAATAATAATAATAAAGGGACGTGGTCTGTTGCTCTCAGCCATATTTCAGATCATCCAGAGCATTCGAATGGGGATGTGATCCAGAAGGAGCCTCCAGAGACTCCCGTCCCCGTCCTCCTCCTCCTCCTCCTCCTCCTCCTCCTCCCCCCTCATGCCCTCACTGAGCCTGGCTACCTGCACCTGCACACCCCCCTCCTGCTCCCCCGGCCCAGAGACTGACGCCAAAGCTTCGGATCCAACAGACCTCAGAAAGAGAGAGAGAGAGAGAAGCTCCCCCCCCCAACTTCCTCTTCCTCCTCCACCACCTCCTTTACCTCCTCTTCCTCCTCGGGACGTCTCCCCGCCCTCGATCAGCGTTTACAGTGTTGCAGTCTGTGGTACTGACAGCTTTTCTATGGACAGTCTGAAACCACGCCGGCACGAGAACATGTGTCTCATTGCTCACTCGGCACCTTTATGTGTGTGTGTGTGTGTGTGTGTGTGTGTGTGTGCGCGGTGCAGTGATTCCTGCTGACTATGTGCCATATCCGTCTGTTTAAGTATTCGTCTGTGTTATGTGAGAAGAATCTTTTTTCAAATAAATGTGGAGCATTTAGGAAGCGCCCAGTTTCACTTCTGATGCTTCTGTAGACTCGCTGCTGTTTGTTGGGGTTCGAATACTTAACACACAGGATATAATAACTTTACAAAATGACTCATGAAAAACACGGTTTTAACTATAGTTTGTTAATTATTAAGTTTGTAACCACAGCTGCTGAATTTCTGATAACTTATAACAAAACAGTAATAAAAACTGTTCAGCCTCGTCTATATTAAGATAGAAATGCACTTTAATGTGGCATATAGGGGAGGTTTTTAGATTATTAAACAGTCCTAAACCAGACCAACATTTCCGATTAAAGTTGCCTTGAAATGTAATTTAACACTTATTATAGAGAATAATCAGCTTGTTTTTCACTTAAAACCAGGAAAACATCCTTTATTATGTTATTTGTTTCAATAATTCAATCAAGTGGTGCCAAATTACACACAAACCTCCTATGAAATTTAAGCCTTTAGCTTTTATTTTAGTTCTTAGTTGAAGCTTGAATAAATTAAATAAGATTAAAAAGGTCACGCAGTTGCAGCTTCAAACCAAAACACCACTTGTGCTGCACAGCTTTTTAAATCTGGCTGCTAACACAAAGAGGGTTCAACAACCTCGATGGTGCAGGCTCTTCACACCCTGCGTGGTCTCACACACTCAGACAGACAGACAGACAGACAGACAGACAGACAGACAGACAGACAGACAGACAGACAGACAGGAGGCGGCGGAGCAGCTGGTTATTCTTCTTTAAGCATGTTTATTGAAAGTTGTGAAGTGCAGCTGTCAAGTGCAATTGTGGTAAGTATGTTACAATATCTCATCCGGTCTTTTTTTTCTTCAGCAGAAACATGCACAGAAACATGAGCATACAACTGATACACAGAATGAAAAAGAAAAAACATCTCCAGACTTTGTTGTTGTTTGTTTTTTTTTTTTTTTGTTGTTTGTTTTTTGATTGATTTAAAGATATTGTTCATCCAGAAGTACATCACTGTCAAAATAAAATAAAAACCATAAAAAGGTGCAGAAATAGTTCCAGAAAGAAAAGAAAAATGAATGTTTTGTTTAACGGTAAGAGTTAATGTCGCAGTGAGGGGGGGAGATATGGACAATATTGTCAGCTGTGTGTTGTCAGTTAAATATCCTAAACTCCTCTCGATCCACGGTCTTGAAAATACAGCATTAAAAATAGACGACACAGACTCGGGGTGGGGTGGTGGGGTGGGGTGGGGTGAGGGGGCAAGACCAGCGTTTCCTTGCTCATCTGCTTCGATCTGTGTGACCCCCAAAGATAGCATCTGTTGTCGTTTTCTCCTCCCCTCCTTCCCTCCCCTCCTCACTATTTTACATGGTACTTACACTATACAGAAATATACATCATCTTCTGCCCATCAAACTGGTTCTTCCTCCTTTTTTTTTTTACGTTTTTTTTTAATATATATATTTATATGTATATATATTAAAAAAGAGAAAATGCAGCTTAGCCCAAATGTCTCAACCCTGTCGGATAAAGGTTTTAAATCACATGCCACTTGCAGGGTTGAGAGAACAGCAATGATGAGCTTTGTCGAGGGCAAAAAAAAATGAGGAAAGTGAAATACTGAAATATCATCATCTCCATAAGAAACCATGTTTTTGTTGTTCATCCCACCAACTCACGGGTTGAAGTAACGTCATCAGTTCTGCCAAGTGTTGTTCAAAGTAGCCTCCCACCCACCCACCTTCCCTCCCTCCCCCCCCCCCCTCCCCCATTCCAGATGGGGACTCGTGTATAATAATTGCTCACATTCTTCATTTGTCACTCTGAGAAAGGCTTCTTCTCTCTCTCTCTCTCTCTCTCTCTCTCAACTTTGTAACTTTAGGATCTAGCCTTGAGAGAGAACGACTTTTATTTACATCATTCAGCAAAAAAAAAAAAAAAAAAAAAAAAAGGTAACAACCAATACAATCCTCCACCTCCATCTACTCCTCCTCCTCCTCCTCCTCCTCCACCATCGTCAGTAAAATCGACATCACTTAAAATCCAGACACAGGCACAGTGATTTTCTTTTTAAATCTATAGTTAAGTATATTGTTGCCACTGATAAGCTGTTTCTTCTTGGTAAGACATTCTAGTTGATATGTCCGAGGGTTATTTGGCAAATGTTTGATGATTCATTCCTCCTCTGAAAACCAGCCCAGCCCATAACATCATCTCGAGATTGTCACCCCCCCCTCCCGACCCTCGACCACCTCCTCCCCCAAAATCTGCTGTAAAGCACTGCGCCGCTCGCTCGTCCCGCCGGCTGCATCCTTCTGAGAGATAAATATGTGCAAATTCTTGTCTTAACAGCGTAAACCTCCTGCTGTCGAAGGCAAGGTGTAGCTCTGCTGCTGTAGCAGAACTCAAAAACTGTCTGTCTGTCTGTCTGTCTGCGCAGACCGGGCTACGCCGAGGGGCCGGAGCTGTGCGAGGTGGGCTGGACGAGGGTGGCGGCGCTCGGGGGTCCCGGTGTGGCGGCTGTCGGAGGGGCGGGCGGGGAGCCGGTCTGAACCTGGGCCTGGAACTGGGCCATCTGCTCCGGGCTGGCCAGCGTCTTCAGCAGGGTGTTCTCCTGCTCCAGCTGGGAGTTACGCTCGATCAGCTCTTTGATCTGCTCCTTCAGGACCTCCACCTCCTCGCGCACGGCGTACATCAGGTGACTCTTCACCAGGTCCTGAGACAGACAGAGATACGGGTTTTATAACAGGAATACATCAACAAACCCACATGAACACAGACTGTCTCAGCATTAACCAAGTTTCTATGTCTCAGATCTTTAATGATACTGGAAATTAGATTAGAAACAACCCAACCTGACCTAACTTGTTCACGTTAAATACTGGTCGATATTCGGGGTAAAATCTTAAACCAACTTTTTATAGTTTCATCAGGGCTCCAAGGTACAAACATCAAATTGTGACTGTGATATGATTCCTGATTAGTGTGAGAATCACTGAAAACACGATTAAAATCATGATGATGTGAAATGTTTTAGGTCCAAACAAACTAATAAATTCTCTTAAATCTGGTTTTGTAGAGCAGCACACCTCTTTAGAGCTATGATACTTTATTATAATGTGATTTGGATATTGCACTTTATTTAGTTTATCCAGCGTGGATATGTAAGGTTTCTGATGTTCTTATAAATATGTGGCACTTGACACTTCAAATTTGTATTAAAAGTTAGTTTATTTAAGACAACCAGTAAAAAAATAATACTAAGTAAAGAATAAATAAACTTTCCATTAAGCAGGAAAAAGCAATTTCTAAGACTACAATACAGTTTTATGTATTATAATGATTAGCTGCTGCGTGCTGCCAATATCTTCAATACTGCAATATGTTATGTAAAAATCAATGTGAGACTGAATATGTTAAATTATGAATTGGCAGAATATCTCTGCACAGTCAGAGATACAAAAACACTCAAAGCAACCAAGAGAAAACAGAATATGTGATCACTGTTCGACAGGTGAGCTTGAGACACTTCCTCCTACATTTATTTTAACTAATTAAACTCTATAATCCAAGATTTCAACGATCTAAATGATATATAATGATATAATAACACTATAAATTAAGCATAATCCTAGGACACAGAGATGGGGGCTTATCTTACAGCCAAATATGTATTAACATGCCACAACCTCACTTTTTATACTTTATTTTGAGTTATTATTATAATTATTTAGTTCTTTTTCCTTAATAATCTGAATATACAAACAATTAACACTTGTCAATAAAGCTAATTTGAATTGAATTGCCCAACAGACAAAGAACCATAAATAAAATAAAAATATTAAAAATTAAACATACATAATGGACAATAAGAGGAAACATCAGATTGAAATCTGGTGATAAATAATAAACAATAAACAATAAACAGAAGAAACGTGAGCTTTTTTCCCCACGTCACTAACCCCGCCCACTTTATTTAAAAAAGCGTGGACCAATCAGAGGCCGAGATATTTATAACGAGGCTGTGAGCCTTCCAGTTTGCCTAGCAACAGAGAGACAGCAACAACAGAGACCAACAGACTGAAACTGAAAATAAAAGCCCAGAAACTAAAAACCTCTGAGCTCAGATTTATACAACAGCAAATAATATTGATTGATTTAAATATGATAACGCTTCAATAAGTGAGAACAACGGTTGGTTTCCGTTAGTTTAGTAGCGGACGTTAACGTTTGATTTGAGCCTCGTTGTAAACACATTATAACAATATAATCTACACAATAAAATACCAACTAAATTCATTTTACTTTGTTTTGTCTTATTTACTGTATATATATATATACACACATTATTATTCTAATACATTTATTTATTTTATTTTCTTAACTATTTGCATTCACATTGTTGCTTTTTGTGTCACTTTTATTCTTTAATGCTGCTGTTATAAGTATTATATATATATATATATATATATATAATAATAATTGAGCTTTGGCAAAACATGTGATACATGTGAGCCTATTTAACAGAATTTAAATGAATACATAGCTACAGTTGTTAAAGATAAAACTACGCAGACAAACACACAAAAAGGCCCAATAAAGAGTATTTGTCCTTTTCAACCACATATATTCATTCTAGTGTATTATATGGACTAAAATAAAAAGGTTTAAAACTCACCATTGCTTGTTCAATCTTGTTGTCAATGGCCACAACGCTGGCTCCTGACGAACTGAAAGGAAACAGAAAATAACATTAACACATTTTATTTTATTAAAACCTCCCACCCAACATAAAAATAAATAAAAATAAATCTGTGGTGTTAAAAACAGAAAAGCATCCAATGCACATCCGCAGTCTCCCTCTTTTGTGGGTCGTTTTTTTTTTTTTTTAAAACCAGGAAGCCTCTGGAAATTTCTATAAAAACCAACAGTGGAAACAAATCCTCCTCCTCTTCTTCCCCTACATACAACCGCGTTAATGGCCTCCATCACACTGCTGCAGGTGACACCGACCCTGCTGCAGGTGAGCACCACCAACAACGCCACATTGATCCGTATCTATTCACCTGTTATCGATCTGGACGTGCGAGCTCTCCGCGCTCAACAACGACGACAGAAACGAGATGGAGAGATTCCTCAGCTGGCAGACGCCTAGATCCATAGCCACGGTGTAGCACGACGAATTCATGCTGGCCATGTTTGGTGTAAAGTGTTTGGGGGTATTTTCACAGTCCGTTCAGCCCCGTCTCGACCTCCGCGAGACACATCCACACTATTACTCTCTCTCCGGTAAAAGCTCGTGCACCGACCGCAGCGGTACAAACACAATATATCCAAGGTCAGCTCATCTCGCTGCTACACACACCAGTCCTCCTCTCTCTCCTCGGTAGAGAGATATATATATATATAAATAAAAGAACCCCTGCAGCTCCAGGGAGAGAAAACCCGCATAATTTATCCAGCGTCAACCCGAGAGGGAGGCCGCTGATTGGTCGAGAGGGAGGCTGTTTGAGTGACGTGTGCAGGGAACGCCCCCACCTGCGGATCAGCTGACATGTGTTTGCATAAAATATACCAGGAACAACAGAGAGAAAGAGAGAGAGAGAGAGGGAGGGAGAGAGAGAGAGAGAGGGAGGGGGGGGGGAGAGAGGGAGAGGAGGTGGATGAAACCGGGGAAAACCGGATGGGAAGGCAGGAAGAAAAGAGCTGAAAACACAGACAGAGGAAGGGCAAGATTTTATTTAACTGCCACAAAAAACACACTCATCTGCCCCCAGGTTTAAATGTACTGCAAACACGGAGATAATTTACCCTGTTTTAACCTTTATCTCCATTAAAAGAAGTGCTTTTCATCAAACACTGAAGAGTACAGTGCAGGGACTCCCTCAGACTCTCATACTGGATGATATGTGGTTACATTCTTCTTACACGGAATAATAATAATATATATATATATATATATATATATATATATATATATATATATATATATATATATAATATATAATATAATTTCTGGGCTTTTTAACATTTACTTTATCTTTGACAATACAGGACAGCATTCCTGACTCACAAACAGTCAGATAAAGGTTGGGAACCACTGGTTTAAAAGGATACCAACTACAGTTTTCCCTCTAACTGTACCATTAATTTGACCACAGCGCGCGCACACACACACACACACACACACACACACACACACACACACACACACACTTTTCCATAGATTATTTCCAGGATATTAATCCATTTCCAAGTGTCTCTAAACTTCCATGTTTTCCAGAATGTAATTACATGTAATTTTAAACCTTTTTTTTGCACTATTTTCCTGAATTTTAGGGTTGTTTGAATGTGTAACACTGCATTTCTATAATACAGTGCTTTCTTTTTGGGAAGGTAGAATACAAAAGGCACACGATCCCTACTATCTATTATATCCACCAATCTTAAAACATACTGTGGATGTCTATGAAGTGAAATCATGTCTATTCACATGTTGCCCCCGTGTGGCCCCAAAGCAGCACTGCACCTCTCAGCCACATTATCCAGAGACCCTGCCAGCTTCAAAACATCAAGTGTTTCTTAGCACAAAAGGGGAAAAACTAGTGCTGTCAAACGATTAAAATATTTAATCGCGATTAATCACATTAATGTCGTAGTTAACACACATTTTTATCTATTCCAAATGTCCCTTGATTTCTTTTTGTCCTATTATTTTTTCTCATTTTAATGCTCTTATCAACATGGAAAAGTGGATCGGCTTGCTTTGTGCAGATGTTTTTATTGAAAACAACATTGGCACATACTGCAGTGTTCAATTTCACACTTGGAGTAAATAATCTCGCACACAATGTAACACTGTCCATCAATAAAAGGGTGAAGTGGCGTTTCAGTCAGTGCAGAGGTTGACATATTTAAAAACCTGGATGGATACTGTCATGTAAAGCTCGATGTGGTTTTAATTAATGTAAAAAAAATAACTATAAAGACATTTTTTTTTTTTCAAGCAGTTTCTACCTGGACTGTCACTGACTTGATTAAAAACCGGTACTTTAAAGACCCCAAAGATTACACTTTGACACTGTCAAATGTCTGTGACAACAGAAGAAAAGAGAGATCGATGAGGTCAATCTGACTCAAACAACATCAACCCCACCCCCACCCAAAACTATCTTCACAGTACTTTATAGAGGGGAGTATCTTGGTCACACAGACACACCTAAAACAACTCCTCTGCACAGAAATTCCCCCTCAGACGTCCTCTGAAACTCTCACGCAATCCACATACACCCAAAACCCTCAAACTCATGTGCACACACTCTTGACACTCTTGCCTTTGATCACTCACACACACAAACAAGACAAATGGAGGGGGGGTCTTAAAAGAGCCCCCGAGCTACTGAGGGGTTACACTTTATTTAGATGGTCCACCTACAGATAGTTTATAGAGTATTTAACCTGTTTCACTTTGTCTGTAGACAGTTAAACAGATCTGTACAGTACCTAACCCACTGGTTTTTAAACTAGGGTTCAGGGACCGACAGGGGTCCTTGAAAGGGTTGTAGTGGGTCCTGAGCTGAAGGAGGAATATTAATATATATTATTATTGTAGTTTATATTGATCTCAGTTCGATCATTGTTTCACAACTTTATAATCTTAAAACTAGAGATGTTCCAACACCATTTTATCCTTCCCGACATGATACAGAGTAACGATCCGACACGTGTTAAAGAATACATATTAAAGTACATACTGTATATTATTAGTGAATAATACTAAGCCTGTATTAGTTGCTACCATGTTGTATGGACTGGCTCAGTTCAGTCAAAGTAGGGTTTCTATCCCTGGAAAGAATTTAAACCTAAATATTAAACAAATACTCTCAAACTGGGGGTCTGTGGTCTAATGTGCATCTATTGTGGGGGTAACCCTGCCCTAACCAAGATGTTTGTTGTGCCTAAACCAAACCGAACCTTAACCACAGAGCTGTAATAGTATCAGAAACAGTTAAAACAAAGTGTAACCCCACTGAGAACTACAGTGGTGTAGCCGTCGTATTAAAAGGACTGAATGACAGCCAGCACAGCAGTGAGAGAGGAAGATCGTACGTCACAAATCACATCAGGAGACATATTCAAACCCTGAAGAGAAGCAGGACAGGCTGAACACCTTCAAAGAGATTTAAAAATGTGAGATTTAAAATGTGGGCTTAGGCTAATTTGGGTATCACAGGCCTGTCTTATTAAGCGCCGGTTACCGCGAACAGAGGCTCAACCTCTCGAGCACTCGTACTGATGTCGGCTTCTTGCTCACCTCTGATCCCAGTCAAACACTTCCGCAAGAAGCCAAACAGCTTAACGAGAGGCTCTAAAGCCACACTTATCTCTTCCGGTCTCTTCTTTGACTGGAACAGGATTTAGTCAATTACCCAGACCCCAAATAGCCGGTACAACTGCAGCTCTTGAGGAGTAAAACCCCACGTCTAATACGGTCATACACACACATACAGAGGATTGGTATACCTCCGCAGTTTCTTGCAACATCAACTAGTTTTTCTCTTGGCTAGCTGCCAGATTAACACTTTAAAAAAAGCCACTGGTCAAGAACAAGATTTTGATGCTTTATGCAACAAATCCAGAGTTAAAGCACGAGACAACAACTGGAATCGAGCCAAGAAATAGACACAATGTTGATTTTTCTTTTATAACGACTTAATATTTCAATCCTACTGAAACAACAACATGTGTCTACCAGTGGAGCTGATCATATATAGCTCCTGTGAAGCTCAATAGAGATGCAGAAATACTGCTTTATTAGTACATGTAGTTGATTTATTACCAGCTTTAACTGTAACAGTAGCAGACTGTGGCCCAACTGTATGCAAACAAATGCTCCAGGTCCTTTAACAGACATCTGGTTGATGTTCTACTATCTGCTTTTATCCAGCATCCACTTAGTTATAATGAGCATTTTAAATACATATGAGGACACAACTTTTATCCAAAAACATATACACATTACATTTGTACTAATTCCTTCTTTGCATGCATATAAATCAGCTTTTACTCTGCATAAAACATGGATAATATTAGAAATACCTCTTAATATAATGCAGTCAAATACAACACTAACCACCAACTATGGCCTAAAAAAAGTACCACAAAGTTGAATCAACACCTGATAAAGCAAATAGCATACATTTCACTAAGATGGGATTCACTGCAGGTCTCTGTCATTGTGTCCAGTTTTAAAGTGCAGTTTCTTTTACAAACAATACATAAAGTGTGAGTGCTGAAACAATAAAGGCATTTATGTGCTGTCATACTGTTGCAGAAGAGAGGATGACTTCATGTGAAACCACGGACCAGATGGGACAGAGTGACGGTAAACAGAGCTTGTTACAGAACAACAGAATATGGCAAGTAATTCAGTGACGATAAAGAAACATGCTGTGGGTTTAATTACTCACAGAGCCTCCTGGAGGTTATCAGTAAGTAGCAAAACTGATACCACACTTTTCTTTAGTTTTTCTAAACATAAGCACATCCAGTTACCCAGTTTATAGCATCTGCTTTAAGTATTCCTCAGTGTTAATAGCTGCCCCCTGAAGCCACGAATGAATGAATGGAAAAGGACAATATAGCCACGCAGCCCTTTGTGAGGAGCTACAGTAGTGATTGGCCCCGAGCAGAGCTACACTGTACAGACTCTCCGGGGTTGGTGGGTGGAGAGGGGGGGTATTCCCTGTCTTTATTTTACCTTTTGAGATGCTGCTCCAGCTCCCAGAACAAAAGCTTCATTGCCATCTCGTCATGGCCTTGCCCTCGTACTCCCCGTACTCTCATCTCATCGCCGTCCGTCAGCAGGATTATACACACTCCAAAGTAGCAGAGCAACTCGTCCAGAAAGTCTTTGTTTACGGTTTTCTGACGCTCGTTTGAGTCTTAAATTCAGATAACAGATCTGGGTCGCGGCCTTATAGATGCATCAGTGAGTGCAGCTGCATGTTGGGAATCAAAGGCAGCATGCCAGGTTATGATGACTACGTATGTGTGTGCTCCTCATTTTTCCTCTTGTCCATATCATCCATTTGCATTTGAATGGCTGACTAGTGAGTGAATTACTGAGTACAGACAGTTGCTGGGCGGGTGGTGACGTGTGATCATGTGATACTGGGAGTTACATAAACCATCAACAGAGATTAGCATGTGGCCCAGTGATTTCCTCGCTCCTACCGCCCTCTGCCCTCTATAGCCTGAGACGTCGGATATACTATAAAACTCTTGAGCGTCAACTCTTCAGCATCACTTAATCTCTGCATAGCTTCCCAAATGGTGTCACAGCCCTTTCACTGACCTCCATACTTTAGAATAATGTACTTCTATAAGCACATAAATGACGCCACAGGAATGTAGAAGCACTGAACATGCAAATATAAAAAGGTCTAGTTTAGATATTATGTATAAGGGTACGGGGGGTTACGTATTTTTCTTGTCACATACAAAAGGTTGTCAGAACTGCTGAGAGTTCAAAGTCGTCAGGGTTTTTGGGGTCTTCCAATCAAAATTTCCAAAAGCAGCACACACACTTTAACGTGTTGGTTTAGTTGGCAGTTTCAAAACTAGGCATGATTTAGTTTTCTGTGCCAGCCCTCCTCTGCGTGATAGACAGGAGACCCCGTGCTTCGGGGTCTTATCTTGTCATTTCTCATTGAAAAGGCTGCCTTAAGATGGCTTAGCGCCTCCACAAACTGAAAACACAACTTGCACTCACAGAGCCTCCGCCAGCTTAGAGACGGCCGGCCAAGAATCAACAGGTAAGGGGTGAGCACAATGCAGGGGATTTCACTTGTCCTAACAGACTCGATGTGCTGCAGTGACTTCTGGGTGGGTCATGCAGCCCTGCAGCATTTCATAATCAATCGTGTGACGGCTTTCAAAACACCTTAAATCAAAAGAATATAGGACAATACACGTTTTTAAAAGCTTCAAAAGGCTCAATATTCCCTTTGTAGAGTTCTGTTGGTCTAATATAACAGACGGACGTAACCACCTTGAGAGAAGAGTGACTGCCATGTGATATGAAATACAGCCACATCACCGCAAACATTTAATCATAACCATGGTTTGTTTGATGCCAAATGTACAGTCCAACGCCGCGTGATTTTTGGAAAAAAGGCTACCGTCCAGCAGGCTAACATCACCAATGGTTATTTGAGCAAGAGCCAAAAGCAGCAGGATTATCGTCACACTACACACTCACTAGTAACAGCATACGATCCCTGAAATGGCTGTACAAAGATACACTATACCACAACACCAGTCCAACAGTCTCTCTCCTTCACTCAGACAACAACTGCACCAACACACCTCTTTCTGGGCTAATCAGACTAATAAAATATTTACACATTTCCATCCAACTTTACACCAAAAACCAGTTTTTAAATAAATTCCTAGTTGCACAACAGGCTTGTGCAGCTGCAGCATCATGCTTAATTTTATACCTACAATAACAACTTACAACAAATAGCAAGTCAGCATCTAAACTCATATTTCACTCACTGGATCGGTGCAGATCGTGAAATGTAGCCTGGCTTTGTGAAGCTACAAACAATGGTGGTTGACATTAGAAATGTGCATACACACATGAACATGCAATACACAAAGAAATACTAACTGAATACACAAGTTAGTGCTTGCAGCCATGAGCAGGCACATTTGCTGCTGCATGTTATCGACTAAACAAATCAATGCACTTTATCTACAGTTGCAAACATCAACAAATATCAATCTGACCAGACAAAAAAATGTGAGGTAGCTAAAAGCATGACACAATGGTTTATTTCTATGTTATATGTTATATTATATACGCTCTTTAAACTAAACATGCTTCATTATAACAAGCAAAAACCTCAACAACCTTAATTAATAGAATTAACTATCCAGAATTGATTATGATGAAAGACTCGCTGGGTGTGTGTCGGCTTTATTTCTGGTGTAATTCCTGTTTTGTTAGTGAAATGTGTCTTACTCACAGGAAGAGGAATTGCACTCACATCTGCTGCTTTTCGGGGGGTGTAACGGGATGGGACACAATCTCTAAAAAAAAGTTAATAAAAGGGGCCTGGCATGTCCCAGAGATGAAAAAAGAGGCCTATTGAATTGTTGAATTGTAAAGGCTTTTGGCTGAGCGTTAGTTTGATAGTGGAAAGCACGCACAGACTTTACCAGTAAGCCCTGGCAGTGGTTTTCCATAGTCACACCCTGACTATGGAGAATGAGAGGTACTGAGTGAGTCAGTCAGAGAGAGAGGCAGGGAGGAATGATGAGTGGCCATTTTGGCCTCCATACGTAAGAGACACAGGTGCTATTGGAGCATTTGGGCTGACAGCAGCAAGTCCTTAGTCCTCGCTCTATACTATAAACTCACACCAGCACACACACACACACACTGGGGGAGAGAGGCAGAGGGAGAGAAGGAGGGAGGAGAGAGAGTCATCCAGAGACACAAGAGCTAGAATGGCCTGGATCCACCGCCTCAGCATTAGTACTAGTAGTAGTACTAGTATTAGTAAAAAGTGATGGACGGAGGGGAGCAGAGAACAGATGCAAAGACCAATAAATGATTAGAATATGATACGACTGTTTAATTAATAGCACATTTAATTTGATTCACAAACCTGACTGACCTGTGCACTAAACTTAGCTAATGACTGAGTCAGATTTGTGCATGTTCACAATATACAACGTAAAGAGCAAGCTGTTGGGTACATGAAGGGAAGGTAACATATCCTCTCGCAGCATAGTCTCGTGATAGTAGTTTGATTGAAGATCTCAGTGCCTTCCAATCATCTTGGGGGATTTCTAAATGCGAAGTAGTTGCTTCAAGGAGGCGAGAACAGCCGCTAACGAACGTACTTCAAGGACACGTTTCACCTGAAACAATTCTTTACCCCCCCATTCTCCTCCACAGTGGAACAAACTGGAGATAAAAGGAAATCACTTAACACAGAGAGAGCTTTTGAAAACTCTGAAAATGGATGTGTTGAGTAACGTTATATGGTACGACTGCGTGCGGTTTTTCTTCAAACTCTTTAACTGTTGGAAGAAAGTCCTCAGCCTCCACTGAGCGAAACATTTAACCTGCGTTTGACTTGCGAGTCCACTCACACCACTGATGATTCTGCACATAAACATACAAACTATGTTCGAGGACCACACCTAGACAGATGTTATGTGCACACTCATGATTCAAGACTAAAAGATTCTGTTGTACGTTGCTCAAATAACCTCAAAGTGACGGGTTTCAGAACAACTCTCTTTATCTCACTCAGTCACACAGAAGATCCCAATTACATAAGTGTGTGTGTGTGAGTGTGTGTGTGTGTGTGTGTGTGTGTGTGTGTGTGTGCGTGTGCGTGTGTGTGTGTGTGTGTGTGTGTGCGTGTGCGTGTGTGTGTGTGAGCAGCAGGTTTGAGTAATGTGGAGTGAAACCTGGCATTAAAAGGATTACCCGCCAAAGAACACACAGCGCTCCGAGTGCAGACAACAGAGGACAGGAAAGATGCTAACCACAGCAGTACAGATGAGGTAGAGGAGTCACATTAGGGGGCTTCAGGGCGAATGTAGCGTCTACCTCCTTAAAGAAATGTCAATACAGAATCAATAATCGGATGTGTTTTTAAACAGCCAGCACAGTTACGTTCATACCTGTATTGATGTAACAGCAAAAAATGCAATTCAATCAAAAATGTTTTACTTCTGCTAAAGTTACTAGAGCTCGATTGATATCGACCTATCGCATACATATCGGTGTCATCCGATATTTTTCCTGGTATATAACACAAAAGGGTTTGTTGTTTTAACAGTGTGTATGTTGAGCTATTTATTTAATTTCTAGAATAGGTGTTAATTAATGTTATTTAACTAAAATATTCTTTAATAACTTTTTATTTTTTTCAGAAAACAGCCCTCCGAGTACCTTTGTATATATTGTTGTAAATTCTAAAGTTTATTGTCATTTCAGCTCAGAAATTTACTCTATAACAGCTGCCATATCTGTAAACAGTAAATATTTCCCCTTTAAAATCGGTTTCGGTCGTACTCTAATAGTTACGTCTGATTGTACTTGTACTATAACAATAATTTGCACAATTACATGGTCCTAACTTTAATAACAGCTACTTGCTGATCTCAGAATGTATACACCTTACAGCTATACATACTCACTGGCGTCAGTAATGGATTTTAAAGTCATATAAAGCACTGAGCTATAGTGTGATAGCAGATCAAGATATGCTTGCTTCGCCTCAGGCTTCAGAGAAACCTTTATCAAGTCAGTCAGCTGGGGTTTCTTTCTAGCTTTCACCACTACATCTCAAAAAATGTCCTCACTTTCGAAGCTTAAACTCAAATTGCCCCTCACAAAGATAAGACAGATTTTATTTATCTCCCCTCTACCTACTTAAACTCTATGCGTTATTATCTTTTAGAGTCTGACGAAGGAGGAAAGAGATTACTCCCACTGATGTCTGGGTCATAAAGCTTTTACAACACACACACACACACACACACATCTTATACACAGCCTCCACCTTATAGCTAACAGAACGATAAAAGTGTGTTTGTGTCGGCTGGTGGGAGGCTGTTTTTCTCTTAATACATCACAGAACCACAAGACCAAGTGAGTCATCTCTCGCTCATGCCGTAGTCTACCTCCCTCCAACACAATCCTCAGGTCTCTCAGCCAAGTCAGTACAATCTGTTGGTGGATGCACACATTTTTCAAACATTTATATTATTAGTTGTAACATTATTACGTCAGTAATTTCAAAAGGAGGATGCTGCTTAAAGAGGGCACTTTATTCAAGCTGGATAACTGGAATTAATTATATTTAATTAATAACCAAAAACAGTATGGCAGCAATACGTCCAGTCTGATCCGAGGAACAGGAAGAAGGGAATGACTTGGGAAATAGTGGCAGAGTGAGACCTCTTACTGTCTCGAGCAGATCCAGGTTAGCAGCAGGGTCCCATTTCGGGGCTAATAAATAACGTGGTATCGGATCGGTGCACAGGATCACACATACTTTTCCAAAAACAGGCATCAGAACAACTCTAGTCTCTACTGACAATGATGTCAAATTAACCAACTCTTCACGTCTTTCAGCACCATTAAATACGGGTTTGTTAATAGAGAAAACATGTAAAGGGTTAAAAAAAGTTTAGTTTCCACTACAGTTCTGCTGCTGTATAAAGATAAAGCTAATAATAAATCCAGGTTATTATAAAGTAGCTCAACTGCAGAGTTCCCTCTATTGTTCCTCAACTTCTCGAGAGAATTCATCCAATTTATTTGACCTTTACTGTCTGTGATCAATCCCCCCCACCACCCCCAACCTCAGTTGATTTGATGTGCACCCTCCTAATCTGGGCTGCATCCATGAAAACACAGAGAAGGGTCAGGGTGTGGCAGGATTGATCGGTCATTGACCCGCCAGAAAATTGATGGTGAACGCTACAGTCCATTTTAATTTGTGTCAGCATTCCCAAACCTCTCTGAATATCAAGACCTACTTCATGAATCTTCTTTGGTAACTGCAGACAGACAGTATCAACATTTACTAGGTCTGTCCTGACAAAATAACATAATATTTATTTAATAAAGAAATCTATTGATTACTCTATTGAAACTAATCATGGCTAGATTCATTTATAGTGAAAAGAATTTGTTCTGTTTTCTTTGCCTTTTAAATCAGCTGATGGAAAAGGTCAGGAAGAGTTCATCAATCAATAACTTTGAAACAATTAGGCTACAAGCCCTTCCCTGCCTCCTCGTGGTGTGTGTGTGTGTGTGTGTGTGTGTGTGTGTGTGTGTGTGTGTGTGTGTGTGTGTGTGTGTGTGTGTGTGTGTGTGTGTGTGTGTGTGTGTGTTTGTTATTCTCAATCAAGATTACAAGTGAAGAGAGGAGGACAGGCCGTGAGTGGATTAACTAATGATGAGTCCACCGTCAGCGACTAAACCTCTGACGACAGCAGCGCTACCGTAAATGCCGGCTTAACTGCAAACAAACAAACTGTTGTTTCCTGCTTTACAGTCAGGAAGGCCAAATACTGACAGTCTCACCTTCATCATCAGCCACTTTCACTGAGATGATTCTTTCACTGGGTATTTCTGATCTTATATTCAGTCTATGAGTTATTGCCTGTACACACAGAGGCCAGGACAAGGTCTCTATGAGAACCCTTAATAATACAATTTAATCAGCAGAGAATATGTGGTATTAAATGCTGTTTACATAATAAGGCCCTTACAAACTGTTGGCATACTCATTAAGTCATTTTATAGTGAGTGTGATATTTGTGAGTTTGCATCTGGACACTTTGGTCACTGCTTTCTGAGCTGACTTAAAATGAACAAAGAGAAGATTTTTAAAATGATTTGTTACGATTTTACCAAACAGCAAAATAGAGGAAAGTCTTGAGGTCTGATTCAACTTGTCCATCAACACATTACAACTGTATGCACAAAGAGTAAGAGCAAGCCACAGCGCCATCTTCTGGTGACAACGGGCCTTGAATTTTGTAATTTTAGAGGAAATTTCTTTCAGGGCACCAAGGACATAAGTTACCAAATAGGTTATTTTAATTCACATAAATAGACAAATCAATTTCTAAAAGCCTTAATGCTCTTTTAATAAAACAGTGTAACACACTTTTGCCCCGTAGGCCGACACTGTTGTTTGTTTTGTCAGCTGATAATTAACATTAAGTGGTTCCTGCTGCTGGCTGACAGATTACACACCAGTTTTCCTGACCTCACCATCACCGTTAGCTGTTACGTGTAAAGCAGAGCACCAGCGCAGTGAAGTGGAACGGAGCTCTGTTAGCTCTATTAGATCCATTAGCTGTAAACAAACCCAAGGATTTCTGCTGCACACACCTGCTGACAGATACACAGACTGAGTGGCACCTGGCTACTATCAGTTATCTAACAGAGTCACTTTAGTAACACCATGAGAAAACACGCTCCGCAGGATGTACGGCTACAAAACAAGAGCTCTTTGACACTTGCTTTTATTGGTCATACCAAAACAGTTGATTACGTTACTGCTACAATCAAGTGTCGTTTGTTGGTTGAATTGAAACTTGGATCACAGTAAGTCAAAACTAAAAGGAATTTAAAAAAGTCTTACCTGTTACAGCAAAAAGAGCCGGCCACAGGGAAACATGAAAGAAAGGAAAAAGAAAACAGATTAATGACAATATGTACCAGAGAAAGTACAGACAAGGCTTGTTTCTACTTTGAGTACCACTGTAAGACAAATATGCATCTGCTGCACCGAGACCTCAGAGATGTAGGCTGGTATACACTGCCACCTGGTGGCAAACACCGGAGCCACTACAACCAGTGCATGCTAATTAAACTTACACAAAAAGACTTGAATAGACCTCCCGGTGTAGGGAGTGAATTACTGTTAAGTGTTCAATTTCTGCCAGAATGCCGCCAATTAATCCCAAACTCCACATCCCCCGTGTCTTTGTTGTGCCTTGCTGATCAGAGAAAAGAGTCACTGATTGCTTTTCTTTTAACACAAAGCCTCGTTACGTCTGCTGGGCTTTCATCTCTGTCTGGTATTTGACAAAAAGGAGTTTGATTAGTTTGAAAAGTATAAAAACCCTCTGGCCAGGACTCTATACATTAAAAAAGAAGGATAAACAAGCTATGAAGGAACTAATACTGTAACAGTTAACGTCAAACTTCTCGTAAATCTACATTTAATTACATGTGTATATATCTTTCGTTCAATCTTCTGTGTACCTGTGTGAGCCACATCCAGTATAACTGCTCATTCAATGTGTCTAAACAAAGTACAGACGTTCAATAAAACCACATCGATATTTCCCTTAATTAACCCCGTCGGAGTGAGTGTGTGCAGTGTCTATGTGTGTGAGTGTGTGTATGTGAGAGCGGTATAATGCGAGTTCAGGTACTCGGTGTCACTGTGAGCCCTCGCTTCACAGCACAATTTATTTCTCTTTGCATCAGCACATAAACAAGCTCATTATCGGTCTTCACACCTTCTAAGTTGTAAAATAAAATAAATAAAAAAGGCAATAAAGGCTCATTCTCAAGGAACAGTTGCTTAAAATATGATACGAGGGTGTGACATTTCACCACTAATGGCCCTGTTGGCACTTTTGGGTCCAACTTTAATGCAGTGAAACACCGCACTAGCTCAAACAACCTGGAGCTTTGAGATAAGCGACCTACTGGCCAATCGTTTAACCCTCCTTCCTTCAACTCTTCCTGTCAGTTTGCTTTGAATTTTGTTTTTTTTTTACTGTTAATTTGCTTCCTGTGAATGTATTCCAACACTGCTCATTAGCTCCTTTTGTCCTTAACTCTTTTCCACAGTGGTTTCATAACACTTCACATCGCCATTTATGTGACTTAACGACTCTTACGACTGCTTTGTGACCTCAATAACTCTCACATGACTGATTCTTCTCAAGTCTCAGACGTTTGAGGACATGAAAGCACCGGCAAATAAATGCATCGAGCTTGATGGACTACCAAGAATAATGAGAACCTCATAAATCTAAAAGTAGATTTTCGTGGCTTAGTAAAAAGAAGAACAAACAAAGGCTACATTATGATGCACAAACCACATTAAAAACATCAAACATGATGGGAAAACCACCAATAACTGGCCAACAAGCTCAGCAAGGAGGATTTTTCCAAGTCCAAGTAGGTTAAAAAGGAAATTTCCCTACTGTTTTGGGGGGAAATTGAATTAACTCATAATTAGATAATTGGATAACCTGTCTATCCTTGTATGCATTTTTCTGACAATGGACCACTACTGTTAAAAGCATATGACTGCTTCATTTCTCCCTACCATCATCGAGACTAGTATGCCTGAAACCTTCAGCAACCCCAGTCATTTGACCAGCACATTTTAATAGATAAAAGGACTAGAACTTGACAAATATGGTGCTTAAAGCCTAAAAACAGAATTTAGATCATTACATGACTAGAGCTACAAAATTAATGGAGATATTATCAAAATAATCGCAAATAAAGTGAATACTATCTGTCAAAATATTCCCATATTGTGCAGTCCTATTCATGGTCAACATATATACATGTGATGAGCCTGGGGTTTGTATGTATTTCACAGCTTGAAACCAGCAGGGGGTAGTACAGCACTGTGTACAGAGCTGAAAATGGTTTGCAGGCAGACTATTTGTCACTGGTGCTACAGTGACTGTGCCAGTAGAGACCAAAGGAAATGTATTAGGCTGAGAACAAATGAATTAAAATCATTGTTTTGAGTAATGTTTGAACTTCTGGTCACTCTAAAGAGAAGCGAGTAAACAGCCTGCTTCAAAAACAGCATTAAATTCAAAAGCTAAAAGGTCTGTTCCTGATTTATTGATAAATCTGTACATTACAATGCAGACTAAAGATCAGTAAACATAAAATAGTACAGAAAGTAAGTCTATTTGGGTGGGATACCTAAATAAATTCAATACATGAGAAACAATGGAGTACAGTACATGGACATTAAAGTACCGGACACAGAAACGTGATGAACAGTGTCTCTGTGCTTTATACATGCTAATAGGAGAAGCAGCTGGCTAGACCTATTGAGAGGCAAAAAGATTTAAAAAAAAAAAAACTTCACCCACCCACCCACCCACCCACCCTCCTCCCTTCCTCCCTCCCTCCCTCCAGCAGCTCTCCTCATTCAGCCACAGAGCATAGAGAAGAGGATTAGCTCACACAAAGAAAGAATGAATATCAAACCCTATGGGAAAAGACACTCGCTGGATAGAGCTCTCACGTCATCACAGCCGAGCAGAAAGGCTGAAACTCTCAGACTCCATAAACCCCCGAGTGCACCACACATACGGACATTAACCCCTGCGACACTTCACAGTGATCGTCCATACAGGGGACTAAATGTCTGAGCAGGAAATCTTAATTTTAAGGAGAGTTTTCAGACTCCTTCAACGGTTTCATCTATGTAGAGCAATTTGTCTGCTGGTATCCGACCTTCTGAACTTCTTTGCAGGTTTTCTTTGCAGACAAAACTCAAGACGTATATCTTAGAATTTTTAAATATTTTATTAGTATATTGTTCCTATAAGTTTTATTCTATGTTATTTGTGCACGCCTCATATTTATTGCCGTTAATGTGCCTTTTTACTACCATTTCAATGTCTTTATTTGCTACTGATGTGCTGTGCACTTTGGTCAAATCTGGTCATTTTAAAGATGATATACAAATAAACTTGAAACAAGTAATCTGAAGACGACACCTTTTACTGCTTGAACAAACAGTGAATCAAGTAAACGCTCGTCAGATTAATCAATGAAAATTAAAGTTTGTTGCAGTCCTCGCGCTCTCTTATGCAGACACTACATCTATAGAGTGACAACAATCAAGTGTTACATCCATTGAACAACATCTAACTCATATTCAGGAAACAACTGTCACTGCTGCACATATAGGACATTATGGACAAAGATATGTTTGATAAATCGATCAGTGCGATGTGAACAAAATGTCTCACAAGATCTGGGGATAGCACACGTATTGCTATTTGACAGGCAGTTACAAGTACGGATAATATCATAATTATGTTGTAGTAACAGGCTATTCAGTAACAGCTGTTCAGCACAAAGGACACTGATATGAATTAAGGTAGTACGACATGATGTTTTTATCATATTATTTTGCATTTTCTCCTACGATGACCTTAGCAGCCTTTGGGGAAAAAAACACATAATGAACTAAAGAAAGAGGGAACGGTGTAAAAGAAAAAAGCCAACAGCAAAGTCATCCACATCTCTATTTGTGTGTGTGTGTGTGTGTGTGTGTGTGTGTGTGTGTGTGTGTGTGTGTGTGTGTGTGTGTGTGTGTGTGTGTGTGTGTGTGTGTGTGTGTGTGTGTGTGTGTGTGTGTGATTCCTGGAGCTGACTGGACAGTGTTCTGGCCACAGGAATGCCGGCCATGATTCAGCACATTGCCTGCATGTTTAGGGGTATGACAGTGGCAGCCCACTGAAGCCTAAAAATTAAAAAAAAAATGTGTGGCTGAACATGAAACCTCCATCAACACTAAGAGCTTGGACACAATCACCGATTTTATATGTAATGCAGTTCTTCTTCTACAGGTATTATGATTCGATATTATGTTTTACTCAGATTTTTGTTCACTTTGGTAACACTAGAATATAGAAAAAGGTTAAATATCATTCATAGAGACTGTATATCATGAGTCATGTTTTATCTCAGCAGCAGCATCATTGCTATACTACGTATAAAGTCTGAGTGTCCATCCACTGCAATTAAAAACAACAAAATAGTTTCTCCAACCAGGACTCTGACTCCGGGGGAAGATGAGGACACAGTGGGGACAGGCCTCTATTTAAATCGATGGTGACAGCTGAAGAGGACTGGAGTTGAATATGTGTGTAAATATAGTGGCGAATGGTTGTTGGTCGGTTGGAAAACCTTTACATAAAATCGGCCAACCCTAATTAGGATGAGGACCAAAACGCGACAATAAGATGTTAACATTGAGTTAGCATCTACCAGGGACATCGGAGATTTCAACATCCATCCAAGGAAGTGAATCAACAAGACAATCTATCACAAAATACTGTCACAAGAAACAAAGAGAGGCAAACAATGAACCTCGTGAACCCAGAAGGACAACACATGAGAGAACACACACACACACAATCATAACCAGACATTAAAGTTAATTATACTGTGATTTATTTTGATGTATTACACCACCACTACGCCTCTTAGTGGAAATAAAATAAACTTATCAACTAATAAGAGTTGAGACAGCAATATAAAAGCTTCTGCCTGTATTGTAAAGGTACAAAAAGAACCAAAATGAAAAGCAAGGTTAGACTATCTTGGCAGTGTGTGTGTGTGTGTGTGTGTGTGTGTGTGTTCAGGGGTGGGAGGGCAGGTTTCTCATAGATGAAAGGCAGACTAAAAACACAATCCATTATCATCCATTACAAGCCATTAGTTTTCCCACCGCACTCTTAAGTGAAACAATCCAGTTTATTGATGGAAAAATAAACCATCAGTAAAAAAAAAGGGGGAGGGGGGGTTCAGAGACAAATGAAATCAATGACGCACCCACACAAAGAATACAAATAA